AGTTTCAAGGTCTGGAGAACTGGCACAGCCCTGCACCTGCCTGGCCCAAGCTCAGATGGGCATTGGCACAACCAATGCCATGAGGCTGCAGAACAATCCTCAGTGCTTCATTCATGGGCAATGGATTTTACTTCAAAAGGCATAAATTATAGAATTTTCTGGTTTTGGATCTTAGGACAATTTGATGAGTAAAGTAACACCAGTGCTGGTTTTTAACAATGCTGAAACTTGGRAAATATCCTGATACTTTAGAGGGAAAACTTCTCACACTCCACTGAAATGCACTCTGAAACACCCTAATAAAAGCAAGGGGTACAGAACTGTTCTGAGCCTGGGAAAGTTATTAAATGCTTCAGATGAACAAACTCAGAGGAAATTAGTCACAATCACAGAGCTTTTTCTGAACTTTCTGAAGGCCATTTTGCAGAGTGTGTGCACATGGCTTTGCCATTTGATGGCACATTTCCCCTGATTCAGGTAAAGTCCTTGCTTTGGAAAAACAAGAATACAGAAATGGCAAATAAGACCTTAGATYTGGAGAAAGCAGCAGCAACACATCCGAAACCTCGAGCTCCCAGTCCTAATTCTGTGTCTGTCGAATTCACCCAACATTGATAAAYACTTCCCATGCCCCAGGCCAACAGGGAACAACCTCATGCATTCCAAGAGCAGAAAATCAATTCTAAAGACAATTAATCAATCTTCAGCACTCACTGCAGAGCAGGGTAACCCACGAACAGAGGTGAAAGMAATTCTGTAAATACACAGAATTCTTGAATTTCTGTCTTTTTGTCCACCCAGTGGGTGCCCAGGAGGTTCTGGAGCCTCTTCACTCCTTGCAAGCTCAAAGGTGTTCATCTCAAACCCTGCAGATTGTTCAGTCCCTTTTCACCCCTTCTCCATCCTGCTTGGAATTAGAATTCCTCTGAGACCTCACAAAAGGATTTGGGCTGCAAAAAACCTTAAAAATCCCCAATTTCCAACCCCCTKYCATGGGGACAGACATTGCYAAGTAAAACCTCCAATATCAAAGGTGTTTCTTTCATGCCAGGAAAATCTAATGCTGCTCCTTTAATTACAAAAGCCATAAGACAAAATGCATACCCAGTAAAAACAGATTATACCACAAATAGCTATTTTTAAACAGCTTTGGGAGTGTTTATRGAGCTCTCAGGACTCAGGTAATTTGCTGAGATTCGATTTGAATGGTGCCCATATTTATATTTAGAAATAAAAGCAAACTTAAATCTACAATAATGCCGTGATAGCAAAATGAGTAAATTTATTATCGGTGATCTCGTTTAGCTCTTRCTATTTTAGATGTGATAATTTTGAAGCACTTGGACCATGTGTGAGGTCTCATTAGCCCACAATACCTGACTGTAAGCAAAAAACCCCCATTACACAACTGAACAGCAAATGTGCTTTTAAAAGCTCATTTTAAAAAACTCAGCTCCTTAAAATAAAAATGTTTAAAACGTGAAGRAATAAGTTTAAAATACAAACTGATTTTTAAACTTGAGGTTAATAKTTTATAGTTCATTAGGGATATTTCCAACTTCATAACAGAGATTTGATGCTRAAGATGGATTTTAGCTGAGCACAAATGAAGTGCACCTCCCACACCCTCRCTCTGTAACCCTGATCATCCTCAATTCCCAGATGGGAACACATCCCAACCCAGCTGATTTAGACACCTGGCACATGTAAATCACTGACAATGCTTTCAGGAAAGCAAATTTGCTTTGACTGGAGATTTTTATTTGAAGTGGTTCAGGTAAATGAGGACTRTGCACCCACAAAGCCAACTAACCCTCCAGATTTTATTTATATAATCAGTGAAAAAGGTAAAATTAGTTCAGCAAGGTGGACAAGCAAGAGTGAGTCTTTCAGCACAGATGAGGACACAATATTCCTATAACTATAACCTTATTCCTAAAACTATAACCTTATTCCTAAAACTATAACCTTTTTTATGAGAATTCTGATGTAAAACATGCACCTACTTAAACCAAACCAACCCATATTTTAAATTAAAACGGCTGAATGCCATATGAGAACTATCAAAAACCATTCAAAAAGAACACTTTATTACCTCAACTCGTTTTTATCTGGCAGGAGTCAAACAAGGAGGGGAAGCCCTTCAGATGGCTCTCACCAAAGGTTCAGATTCGATGCTGACTCTGAACCAGAGGGTTCAAATCTCTCCCTTTCACTCTCAAGGGGTACTGTGAGTGTGGARATAATGACAGTGCAGCAATGGCTTTGATTCTCATGGATGAATAAAAACAAATCCAAAGTGTGCAGTGACAGAGCACAGGAAATGCTCAATAAATGCAGGGAACACTGAGATRGAAAGCAGGACCAGCACAGCACTGCATTCCCAGCAGGGAAAACCCACAGAAAGATTGGCCCAGAGCACCAGGGGGGATGCCAGAATTTCTATAAATGGGAGAGGGCACTGGTCATTAACATTTCTTACAGAAATTAAATTCCATGCCAAAAAACTTAGGCACTTAATAGAAAGAACCCTAACAGAAAATAGTTAGCTCWGTGCAAAAATTTGCTTAAACTAATTTAGAAAAAAATTATTCCTGAATTGGTCTGCTTTTAATAATTTCATACCCTAAGGCCAGGAGAAAGGGCAGGGATAATTGTGCAACATAGTTCTGGATGCAGATTTTAAATGGTACCCTGTGATAAATGCCACCTAACACTGCTCTTCATTGCACCAATATTGGCAAACTTGCAAAATGCAGGGGTATGTCTGGGAGAGGAACCAGTGCTTCTAGAAACTGATTTCTAATTATTATTTTATGGCCTCTATGAGCAAAGCAATCGACCTAAAATCTGCTAGCTAGAAACAATTAAAGATGGAATAATAAGCTCGGGAGAGAGAAACCACACAGTCCTTTTGCAGATGGAGAAGTCTACCCAAGAAAGAACACACACGAGTAGAACAAAATGTAAAACTGCAGGAGGGGCAGGAATTTACTGTTATTACTTCCATGACCTGGTAACAAAACCATTTTTACTGGAAAAGCCCAGGGTTGTATGCAACCCATTAAAGTGTAGCTTTTCATTCACGGGCTTAGCAAACAAACATCGTGCAGTTAAACACTTTTTAAAAGAGTTTTATTTTCCTGGGCCTGTCTGTACATGTCACCATTTGATTTTTCCCAGGGAGGAAAAGAGCACCACTCCCCTCCCATCTCCTCTTYCCCAGTCTGAATCTTTGAAAGATTTTAAAGACAGGACCAAGTAAGCATAAATATATGCTATAAGGTACACAAGAAATCTCTGCAAAAAAGGCAAATTGAGGAGGTGTCTGCTTGAATGACACCCCTTTGGGCTCACTGGAAGCCTAAATTGGAGGTCTGCCATCCAAATTAATTAATCCCTCCTAGCTCCAGCCCTCTCACCAAAACTTKGAATGGAACACACACAGGGGAATTTTTGGGCTTGTTTTTTTGTAAAGTTGTCGGGTTTGAACCAAACTGATCCACCAGCAGTGATAATAACAATTTGTTCCTTTTGAGTTAAATTTACTTTGTGAAACCCCCAGAAGCAAACACAACAAAAGCTAAATTTCCATGATCTTCTGGTTGCAACCATTGTGAGGATGTGAAACCTCTACAGTTTCAATTTCCACCATGAGAAGATGCAAACAGAATGAGCATCAACTGACACAACGACGTTTCAAACATGGGAGTCACAGTAACTACATCATACAGAAGAGCAGCAAAAGGGATTTTTAATGAGCTCTGTCCCCTTTTTGCTGAGGAGTCCCTGGTTTTGACTCAGGTTCTATCATCTTCTTGGTTTTCTCAGCTGCAGCAGATTTTGTGCAATCTCCTGTGGTCCCTGGGAAGAAGCTTTGCTTTGTCACCACTTGGTGACAAATGTCTCCTCAAGTCACAATACAGATAAACCATCTCTCAAACTGATACTTCTCAAGATATGGAAAAAATCAAATTTTGATCGAGGAGTTCTTCCACATCTGATCTGAGAGCAGAAACAAGCTCTGAATTAAAAATGATACTGGAACTGTGGCAGAATTCACTTCTTACTATGAACAAATGAGGTCACTTATTTTTACTTTTTTCATAAGACCATGCATATGGCAAATTAAAAATAATTCTATACTATCTTGGCTATCTAAAGAGGATACTAAAATTTGCCTTTACTCTTCTGCTCCTCTAAAAATCATCAGCCAACATGAACCCAACCCCAGCTCACTGAGGATTAGGTGGATAAACATGGCTTATTTATGACTCTATTTTGCCAAACATAGCCTAACCAAGCTTTTGGTTTTATGCCAAATAACTTCAACTGTGGATTTTTAAGACTTAAGACTTCTTTCAAATGAAACATTGCAAAAGACAGTTACCATGAGCTTTGATGAAAAGTAAATGCAATTCACAAACCCTGTGCCACTGGTGTACCATAAGCAGAGAAGTGCACAAAGGAAACGCTGCCACTGATTAACTTCTGACATTTTCTCAAAATCAGCATTGCAGGAAGGAGCAATTGCTCAGCAAACCAGACTAAGTTCAGCCCAGTACAACTGTCTTCCTCAGGAAAATGAAGCAATCTTAAGGCATTTTTAGTCTTAAAACTCCAAATATTGTGAGTTCCCACCAAACCAGAGCACATCCAAGAGCAGTGCTTGGAAATGACAATCAGCTGAACACTCAAACTCTATTTGTTAAGAAGTTAATATTCTTCATGGCACCACCTACAATAAATTAATTATACTCACAGTTYTAAGAATTAAAGCAAACAGACTTTGTGCAGGGATGTTTGAATGGTTTTTCAAACACAACAGAAGCCCTTGTTATTGCAGTTACCTGGAGGGTGACGATCCCTGACCACACAGAGCACATTCCAGGAGCTCAATTCCCACCAGAGCCCAGTGGTTTCCAGTCAGAGCAGTTGGTAAATCATTTCCAGGCAGCCCCAGGCCCTGTTTAGGATCAGGGTTTGCAGAATTCCCTTACCTTGTGCCCGTGGCGTTCGTTTCCTGCGGTCTCGGAAGGCGGCTCCCGACTGCAGAGCCTCCAGCAGACTGTCCATCACTCCTGTCTCATCACCCTCTGTAAACAGCARGGAAACAACAGCAGTCAGTGACACCAAACTCACTTTGGACAAAAATACAGCATTGTCAGCTTCCACGAGGTTTCCGAGCTTTTCCTGCAGCTGCAGGGCTCAGGGATCTTGGCTGATGCTCCATCAGGCAAAACCGACCCCAACCCTCCTATAACAAAAACCAGCAACAAGCACTAATGGAAACTCAACAGAAGCACGAGGCAATCAGCAAAATAATTAAAAATTACAACTTAAAAGACTACAAAAAACCCGTAAACATCACAACTGCACATACCCTAAAACAAAAGTTAAAAGTCCAACATGATGAAGAAAATAGTATCTCAATAGAGGGAAACCCCCATGAACACTGAATTAAAAATTATACATGAACACTTATAAAACTGTGATGTCATGTATTTCTGTGCCCATGTATAATAGAAAATGTATAGCAGGCATGTATTATGACAATAATAATATTACACCATGCTTACTGTATAAATATGTGCTAATTTAAAGCAAAAGCAAGTGGGTTAAGAGGAGAAATCCCCCTCACCTCCAGCACTGYAATAAACAAATACCTGCTCTATAGACACAGAGCTATAGAGTTTTATTTCTAAACCTTGTTCTTCCAGCTTGGAGATGTCACCCTGTGCATCATGGATGGCATCTTCAGCATGCAGAAAGTGCTGCTGAATGACTGCTGCTGCCCTGCTAAAACACTGCAAGACTAAAACACTGCAAGACTCAAACATTGCAAGACTAAAACATTGCAAGACTAAAACATTGCAAGACTAAAACATTGCAAGACTAAAACATTGCAAGACTTTCCTGAAGTGGAAACGGCTCAATTTAATCAATGCACAGGGAAAATGTGATGGCACCGAATGGCACAAAGTTCAATATTGCAGTACAGAGAAAATATTTTACATGCTGTCTTCCCATCTTCATGATTCACTAAATCCTTGGAAAAAATTATCTATACAATCAATGCCATGGATGGTGGCATGAGGAACACAARGAAAGTAACACAAGGGAAGAATGGAGAGGGATAATCGTGCACTGGAAGTAAATGYTGGAACATTGCTTAACAGCTGAATTTTACCTCTGCTAAATTTTTTATTTGGGTTTTTTTCCATATCCAAGCTAACTTGCAGCCTTTAAATTACTGGACTTTATGGTGAATTATGGAAATCTAGGCAGAAAAATTACTTCTTTTTATACATTTAAATCTTTACATTCTTTTGCATTCCAGCCTGTTAATGCAGTTGATAGCAGCATTCAACAGCTGAGAAATAGAGGCCAAAGATCTCCAAGGTTACAAAACTATTGATGAATGCCTCTTTCTGCTCCCATACCTGTGTTATAACCCRAAACTAAAATATAGGTTAGGCTCAGCAGGTAGGTGGACATTTTATTCACATCTCTCAGACTTCAAACTAATATAAATTTCCCCATCTGGGAATGGGAAGATCATTACTTTATGCAAAAAAATTTCATTATGGTAAAAAACTTCTGACTCACAAGAAGAGTGGGAGGTTAAATGCACATTCAAGCTCTCAAATGTTCAAGTTTAAAAGCAGCTCATTAATGAATAAGCTATTCTGTCCTGGTTCTCTGTTCCATTCAGATTTATTACACTCAATCCAACCCTGATGTAAGAGCACACCTAAAACAGCTCCTGGTTCACATTTTGACAAGATGATCATTAGAATAACTAGCTGATAGCTTTAAATTATACATCAACCTGACTTAAACCATCATACACACACTACACAACACACAGAAAATCCTCCCTCGTGCAGGGTAAGGTGAAAGCCAGCACAGCAAGTGCAGGAGCCAGCAGAAGACTCTGAAATACCACTTTTAATTACATTCCATCTGAAAGCCTTAAACAGCTAAGCTCCTGCAAAATAAATAAGCAAATTAGCTGCTCTCAATTCCCACTCCCATACAAGGCCAGAATTTTCTCTAAACTCCACAACATAATTGTTTTTCTTCRTGCTCCTTATCCCACCCATGCTTATTCATTGATTTGTTGTTGRCTCTTTATTAAATTTATCTTCAGAATCAAAGATCTGTGAACACACTTTGTCCAAATTAATTCACRTCAGGTTGGTCTGAAATATTTAATGGAAGTGACTGCATACCCAGAACTAGTTAAAATGTTGGAATATTTAATGTGCAGAAAAGCTGCAATATTGTTCGATCTTCATTAAAAGTAAGAGCTGGCAGAGTTTATTAAGAAAGACAAAAATCCTTCAATACTTCATGAATGTTTATGYAGCCTTTGCCTCTGTTTTTGCTGARTGTGCTGCTCTACCTGCTAATTACTGCAACTGCCAAACCCACCCTATTCTGGGATGCCACAATRTACAATATTGAGAGATATATCAACAAATCTGGAGCAATTTTTAACTCCTCAAAGCAAAAATCACACAAGGTCTGATCCCAGCACAGTATCTCAATCAAAGTCTTTGGGTGTTAAGTGGGAACTGGACAAAGAACTGCACTTTCAGGGAACCTTCATTAAAATTTATAAATAAAATCCATCAGGAATTTCAGCCTTTCCCTACAGTTCTTCACAACAACCAGCTATTTCCTCCATTTGTYTTTTTTATACCACCCTCAGCAACTTGTAGACACAAATAGGAAACAAAGACAAAAACTGCCAGAAGTTTCAATACTAAAAAACTTATTTCCAACATTTCTGTCAGCAGAAATAAAACACATMATCATTATTTCTCCTTTAGATATCTTTCATTGTATGCAAGGACGGGAGTTTCATCTGGAACAAGTAATTTTCTTCCTCATTGTTTCTTCTCYAAGTTGGCCCCAAGCATTTCAGAGAGAGCAAATGTGTGGAGATATGCAAAAAGAAAAATTGGTAATTTGCTTTGATTGGGCCCAGATTCATGACAGGTATGAAAGAGGAGTGCAGAGGCAAAAGGATTCTCAATCATTAATTGATGCTTTAACTACACACCGCACTTGTTTTAATTTGGATTTCATGGTGAGGGGTGTTTTTTATTTGTATATAATGTACAGTAATGGTTAAAGTTTGGGGTTTTTTTGGGGTGGCTTTTTTTTGTTTGTTTTTTTTTAATGGCTTTAACTTTTTGTGAACTGGTCTTTTTGTATTTAATTGTACTTATTTATCCAAAGTTTTTTTTGTTTATTAAGGTAAATAGATCTTTGCTGTCTGAGGCCTGCACCCCACATTTGGTGAAAGAGTCCAAACACCACATGCTGCCTGCCTGCTGCTCCAAAAAGATTTAAAATCACACTTCTATTCTCTTCTTGCACTACCCTCTTCTGCTTTAAACTTTGAAGCACTTTTGAAAGTCTAATGTGCGTCCTGCAGAAACTTTTAAACGAGCCTTTTTATTCATAACCAGCACCAGAATTTTTAATTGCAATAYATTCACTTAAAAAGGTCAGCTTTCAATGTCTTTGGGAAAGCGTGTTTTTGTGTTCTCCTCCTAAATTTGCATTTTATTCATTTGCTAAATTCATTCTGCATGCATAATAAATATCTGCAGGAAGCAGGGCTCCTCGGCAGCTTGCACCAGAGTGGTGTCTCATGACTCTTATTTATTTTTTAATTAAAGGAGAATGAGGCAGGACAGGCTGGCTGAGGAGCAAACCCCATCTCGTGTCATTTTACAAATCCTTGCTCAYACACCAATTAAGGAAATTGTTGATGAGAACCTGATCTCAGGCTTACATGAAATTAATAGGAGGAGGGAAAAACGTGCTTTGTTGCACTGGAAGGTTATCAAAAAACTATTTTTAAATGTGGTTTTTTTTTCTTGATTGGCAGAAAATGCTCCAGTGGCCAAGGTGGCTCTGGCAGGAGAGGCACCCACAGCACCCCTGAGCCTCCCTGGGCAGGGACCAGCCTATTAATTATTTATATTCTTAAAAAATGCTAAACTTCTTTGTAATAAACAACTCAGGTAATCCCATCCCAGGCTGGGATTACCTGGGAACACATGGGAGGAGATTGSCTCTGGGTGGGGAGGAAGAGGTTGTGCAGCTCACAAAAAAAAATCCAAAAATAAAACCCCAAACAAAACAAAACCCCAAACAACAACAACAACAAAAAAACCCCAAAAGACAAACAAAAAAACCTCCAAAAAACAAAACAAAAAGACCCAAAAAACCCCAAAAGAACCAAAATAACCCGACCAACAACAACAACAACAAAAAAAAAACCCAACCAAAATAAAACCAAGAAAACCCCTGTATGATATGTGACTAATGAAATCTGTGAATTAAGTTCTGTGCAGTTTGAAGGACACATTAAGTGATGGTACTGAGCTACTCTGAATTTCTGAGATGAGCAGACACGTAAAGCAGAACAGAATCCTCAATGCTTTTAGCACTGGGTAATCATTTCCTTTCAAAAGTTCCTCATAATTGAACAACTGCTCAAACATTTTAGGGAAGAAATGAGTTTTGGGAACTTGTTTTGAGGAAAAGGGAGTTCTTATACATTCTTCATGACTTTTTATGATTTTGTTTTGTTTTTTTTTTTAAATATTAGTGAAGGTTTAGACTGGGATAGGGTTAATTTTCTTCAGAGCAGCTGATGTGGGGCTGTGTTTTGGGACTGGAGGCAGTACTGATGAATTCAGGATTTTTTTTTCTCATCACTGAGCAGCCCCAACACAGAGCCAAAGGTTTTTCTGCTCCTCACCCCATCCCACCCTCATTCCTGAAYGAGCCTTATACTAAATCTGATCCACCAATTATTACTGAAATGCTTTTTAACATTGTAAATCCTACAAAAAAAAAATCCAATSTTACAYAGCAGYTACATTGAGATAAACAAAATTAGAYCTACTTTCAGAATTAATAACAGGACCTACTTTTTGAAATACAAATAATTTCTCTGTGGAAAAGAAAAGYTGAATTTGCATAGACAACTACCCAAAGTTACTACTTGTTACTACTCAGTAAATAGTCCCTAAGAAATCTACTTTTAAGAGAAAATAATCCAATTGTTCTAATCTTTCTTCCCTGCAATTATCCCAACCTCAGATTTGACAGTCTAATATTTTTTTTCCCCTGATAAACCATCTCAGTTAGAAGGTACCATATGCCATATTCATTATCAAAAACAAATTTATCCAGAGCAAAACATTTAAATTGAAATTTCAAGTTGTAATTTCTAACTTCCTGTCCACACTCACATCTATTTGTAAATTAAGTTCTAMTCTAGAGTTGATTTTGACTCATTCAGCAGCACTTTGGTAATTCTGACACACACCCYGTTCTTCAAACTCCTGCATCAACAGATCTGACAAAGTTTTTTAGCAASTCCTGCAGATTTCTTTGAAGAAGAAAACTCAAACCTCATCCTGGTCCTACACAAGCTCACCTTCAAGCATAATGCAAAGCTCAGTCCATTTTTTGTTCTGTGAATATCAGATTTCAGGAGGTGTGCAGCATATTCAAACACACCATCCCCATCAATATGAAAAATAATGACTTCCCAAAGGAATTTTAACATTTGCCTCATTGACATCCAGCATCACAAACTAATCATCTTTAAAATGGAAATAAGACCCAAGTTCTACCACTCCAGCTACCCCCTGCAATCACCAGCCAATATAAAAATTCAAAAAGACATCCACAAAATACCATGTAACCCATAATAAGCTTAGTATGGATTTATGTTTGTGCTAAAGGACATGCAAGGAAGACAAACCAGCCAGAAAAGCACAGAATTGTTACAAAACTGCAGCAAAAAGAACCTCTGGAACTACATCCTGAARCAATGAGAGAAAAAAAAGAGCTCAGGGAAACCCAGCAAGATTTCTGCTCACACCACAACATCCCAAATGGAATATGGATTCCCAGTTAGGGGAACAGGAAAAGGGGAAACAGGAATATCCACCAACACTGCACTGATCTTCATCTGCAGTAGAGGAGAACATTCCTATGCCTTCAAAACAATTAATTCAACACTAATTGGGACTGAGGAAACTCATTCTATCTCTCCTCCTAATACTGGTAGTTAAAAGGTGATTTTAATTGCCATAGTAATCAGATATAATGAAGAGCAAAACTGTTTCTGATTAAATAACATTTGCATCAGAATTGCTGTCAGACACCTCCAGCTCCCACAAAGCTGCCTCCAATTCCTTTTCTCTCTCTCTCTCTGGCTCAGACCTGCTCACAGAAGCAATGCTGCAAGAATTCTGCAGATGTTCAATCACATGGAAGTCATGGAAGGCTTCTCCTCCAAATTCACCTCCCATAACGAGAAATGGYTCATGATTTGAGCTGTGAAATTTARGATCTGCAGGTATGTGCATAAGGCACTGAAACCTTCCTACACCTSCAAACTTCACCAGGAAACCTGGACTTTGCACCTAATGCTAACAATTTTGGTAATTCTTTAATATTAAGAAATATTAATCTTTAAATACTAATTTATTCCTTTAAACATTAATTTATCAATATCATTTATTATCTATATTCTGTATAAATGTAGCAATTGATCTCTTAGTAGTATTATTCTATTAATAATAATATTTAAATATGAATTAATTACTCAACCAATGTTTTAATATTATATCATATTTAATATTAGAGCTTTTTCTATATTTTTGCATTCATCTTTAAATATTTTGGGATGTTCAGCAGGTTTTTTTATCAGTTTACACATAGTATTTATGTGGCAGCTCAGTTACACAAAGCACAAAACCACCAGACTGAGTAAATTTGTCTTCAAAATCCTGGCAAGTTACTGGTTACTCATCAGTAACTTTGATGAGGTTACTTCATCAAAGGTATTTACTCAGAACAATTCTTGATTCTGCCCACACTGTGGTATTCCACAGTTACACCAAGAAGAAGATATTAATTTTAACATTTAATTAATTATAACTAACCTAATGTGGATTCTCTAGTGGCCACAAAAAAGTTGCCACTGAATAGTCCAAAATCCTCATTGCAGAACTAGACTGAAAAAGCAGGAAAATGCAGGAATCAAACTGCTCTGACCTCAAAGGCTTCAGAATTGTGCTCAAATCTGACTCTGGGAGATGCAGAGAAAGAGCTGAGCGAGGGTGAGGTTAAAAGAAGCCTTTGGGTGAAAATCACCTTGTCAAAATGACAGCTTGAGAGGACATCTGCCTCCTTCCTCGAAGTCTTCTGTGTCACATTCACTTAGACAAATTTACAAACTGTTTATGTAAGCAGCAATGAGCACACAGGACTAGCTGCATCAAGGAAAAATCAGTTATTTGGCAAAAATAGGCAATTGAGTATCAATGGCATGGAATCCAGAGGGGATGGATGGATTGCCCTCCTCTACCGCAGCAACACAGCTGTAGTATGTGAAATGGATATTTCAATATATTTAGAAACAAAAGAAAAAAGTATTTTAGAAGTATTAAACTTTGTGTCCCAGGTTTAGAAACATCAGTTATTTAAATGGCAGTTTTGGTGCACTGGGCCATGTGAAAGTTATTCATATATTTGCTTTTTCATTAAGAGAGGAATGGAGCCCAGAACTGATTTTCTCCTGGGATTTTCTCCTGGCAGTGAAGCCCTTGCTCCATGCAGTGCCACTGCCAGTTCAAGCAAGGCCAGAGCTAACAGGATTTGTGGTACCACTGCAAACCTCCAAAAAGCACAGTTTTTTCCCTGTTAAATGGATAACAAGGACAGGTGTTCTTACACTTGGGTCAGATTAGCAGATTAACACAAACCCATAGAAACTGAACAAAAACCTGCAGGTAATCTCTTGCCTAAATCCAATTTCCCCACCTCTGCCTTGTGGATTCAGGTAAAGAATAAAGCCTGTATTTTACAACCTTCTGGAATTCTGCACAGCATCAACACCAAGCCCACCCTGTTCCTTCTCCTCTCTCACCTTCCCCTCTCTCTCAGGGTGGCCTCCTGTGAAATACAATATTTGACAGCCTCCACACATTGCTTTTTATCGTGCTGAAATGTCACACTGCACTCAGCCTCTGAGCTCAACCAGGTTTTCCAGCTCCTAATAGGACTTCTGGGAGAACATCCATTACAGCACAGACCCCCAAGCCCAAAAAGAAAGACATTAATTGCCACAACACCTCGATTATAGAGATGTTTACAGAATGAAATTAGCAACAAAGCAAGGAAGACACTTCTTCTTGGAAGTCAATCCATGAGAAAAAAAAAATCAATTAAGTGCTACAAATGCAAAAAAGCCAATAACTCGTAACAAAATGCCCTGAAAGGAACATTACACATAATAAGTGGCAGATATGGAATGACAGGAGCAGGTAGGCTTGAAACAAAATAGAATTTTCAATTTTGAAAAGTTAACTTCAATCAGCTTTCAGAAAAGTCACCAAGTATTTCTCATATTGATCAGAAATGGCCTCCAGTTTGTTACCCCTGACTTGGTTTTGTTTTTAACCAATCTCTCTGCTATAATGATGTCTCACCTTTGTTCATATCAATCAACTGCTGCTTCTTCTTCTGCCTCTCCAGCCTCTCCCTCTCAGCCTTCTCCTTGGCCAGTTTGGCTCTCTTYGTTTTCTCCTCCAATTCTCTTCTTTTGTTGTTTTCTTTTAATGCCTCCTGCATTAGAGGAAATGAGTATGAGTGCCTATGTACTGAGGAAAACAAAAAAAAAACCTCATTTGCACAGCTTACCTGCAATGAGAGGAAAAAAAAAAAAGCAGGGACTTGACCCAATATTTGAAGCATCTTCAGCAATCTTTGAGGGAACATAATGTCCCATGTTATTTGTACACATGAGCATTATTAATCAGAACAATGAAAACTGAAAGAGCTTTGCAGTTATGATGAAGGAAAAAAGGAATTTTTTTTCAGCAGCAACATGTTTGTGTTTTTTCTCTATTAAGATTTCAAGTCTCCCCTAAACCTGTGCCATGCTCTTTGGAGGGATGAGTGGGGATGGAGCCAAGTTTCCACCATAATGGAATTCAATTACAAGTAGCTGAAAGCCAGCTGCTAGAATTTCAGTTACAATTCATCAAAAATTGTTGAAATAGCYACTAAAACACAGAAAACACAGGAAAAGAAATGGAGAACAGCTGAGTTTAGAGATTACAACTTTAAAGTCTGAGATACCAGGTTATACAAACAAGCAAATTAAAAATCCAAAATTTTCTAATAGAGAATATTCATTAAAAAAAAGGCACAGCATCTTTCAGGGTGCAAATGCCATTCCAGCAGTTTCCTGAGTCAAACACTTCTCTCCCAGCTGACCCTGCAGAGGTTCTGGGCACTGTAAATGGGACAAGAACTGCCCAGAATGGAGCCACAAACACCTTCTCCTTCAGCAAAAAGGGAATTAAAGGGCACAGGCAATGTTTGATCCCTTTTGGCTCTGGACAGCTCTGTCCCTGCACATTCAATCACAATTGGCAGAGATTTCATTTCAGTGCAGTTTGTGATGGGAGGGAATGGCCACAGCCTTGGGACAGAGGGCAAATATGAAATGTGGCTGCAGCAGGAGCTCAGTGGCCACTCAGATCTGGGAAATTCATCTGCAAATTCTCTTTGAGCCAAACAAGTTCTATCTGCAGGGAGATTCTGTGAAAATTCAGACTTCACTTCATCAAATACAATGGATACCAATGACTAAAAAAAATTAAAAAGCCATTTAAACTAAAAGCTTAATCTTGCTGAGCAACAGTAAGATAAAATATTGATAACTCTGGGTGCTGTTTCAGATTAACTGGGTTTTTTTTTTTTTAAGTATCAAATGCCACTGATYCCCTTTCTGCATTGTTTTGCAGGCTAAATTACCTCCAAAGGTAAAGACTAGTTTCGAGACTGAAAAAAATAGTTCAGCAATTGGCACTGCTTTTARCAGAGGGAATAAAAATCAGCAGTTTTGTTACTGCAATGTTGTTCCACAGTGACCAAATACTTACCAGTGCTCACAAGTATTTACTACACAACTGAAGTTATTCTCAATTAAAATTAAACTTATCTAACAGTTATAAATCAGACAAAGAAGAATAAAAGCCTTCTCAACAGCTTTTGAACACTTCTTGAAAATAACTCATCTAGAAACTGTTCTGACAACATGTAAGTGCATTCAAAAAGGGAAATCATTTCCAAGTGAGTCTCAGCAGATAGAAATATTTCAGTGCATAAAACCCTGTTATTGATGTGCTGCTCATGGCCCTCTGCTATTTTGGTTGGTGCATAAGGGCAAGCAGTTTTGCTAATTCAACAGCAAATTAAAAGTTACAGAAAGTTTGAGTGTGCGTTTGTTTTGCTGTAATAAAAACAAAACCAAATTATTGTCTCTCCTAGCAGGGAAATAGATTCAGCAAGGAATATTATCTCTTTTTAAGTGAGTTAGTGGAAGAGGCACAGGGTTTGATGTTCCCCCTTGTGTTTATTAGGATTCACTGAAGTGCAGCTCTCATCCTCAGCACTGCCAGTTTACAGCTTGGCTTCCTTAAAAAGCCAATAAAAAATTCATGCAGCCCTTGCATTCTGTACAGATCTYCAGTTTTGACAGACAAACATATTCACACATCGACACGGTTGTAAATAGGCTCTCAAAGGTAAATTATTAAAAACAAGAAGAAAGAAAACAAACTGCAATGCACAAATCTCCTTGGATATTAAAGATGCAGTTGGCTACAAAGTGGTCATGCACCAATAATGAAGGCTGCTGGGATCCCTCAGCATCCCCTAAATTTGCCTTSCAACTGCAAAATATGTCAACTGAAGTTCCAGCAAAATAATCTTTTTCAGTCATAAGTCATTAGGAACAACAAACTCAGATTAAGTGGAAGTTAATCTACAGAAATAAAGAGAGTTAAAGTACAGCAGATTGAGMAATCCCATTCCATGTAAAGGAAAGGTCTGGCATGGCTGTTCCTGGGAGGATAACACATTAAATACATTGTTATCCCTGGAAAAGAGATGTAATGAGCTGGTATTAAACAAGAGCAGACAAATTGAATGTCCTGATGGGTGCCCATGACACAGACAGCAGAGGACATGAGGTTTGGGACAGGGCACCACACCAATGGCCTGGGTTTGCCAGCTCAGATTTGGGGTTTTGGCAGAGGAGCTGCTGCTGCCTGGGATGCAAAACCACCCAAAGCTGCCTGGTGGTGGAAGGCAGGGGATGTTTGCAGTGTTTATTGAACCCAATTTAAGTCCATCAATGGTATCACTGAATTTCTCAGCTGTGTAAGGTGGATTCATCCTCAAACAGCCCTCGAGTGGACACGTTTGGGATGTTTTTTGCAGCTCCCTCCAATCAATATTTGGAGAGCAGAGTGCCTAATTCAGGTTATTCCTGAAAGGCACAGGGCTGGGGTACACACACCCAAACAGAACTCACAAAAAAACCCCACAACCAGCAAAACCAATGTTGGCTGTTTGGGTACAATCCTAAAAGAGGAACAAAGGCCCAGGGCAGAGCAGTGATTGTTTTGTTCCAAAAGCATTCTTTCTGGATCAAGGAAGAGATAAATCGATATTTTGGCATGTGAAGCCATCATCAGTGAGTGCAATCCTTTCAACTTTTTGACAAAAATTCACTTTAAGGTAAATCTGTAAGAACTATTCATACAAAAGCTTGAATCCAATAGGAAAAGTGAATTACTCTTTTAACCAGCAGGACCTTGAATATGATGTATTGAAAAGTTTCAAAGCTTCTGRGCAGAAATTCTCAACAGATTTTAAAAGAGACTGTGGGAATTACACATGATGTGGTCTATAAAGATATAAAGTGCTTAAATAACAAAATAAAACTGTTGGGATGGAGACATTTTGCAGCTTCCTTAAAGCCATGGTTGGTGTAGCATGGAAGGAAACATTGCAGTGCATTTGTGGCACTGCACTCTGAGGAAATAACAAATGTGAAAAAAAGGAGAGGAGGGATGTGCTCATAGAGCTGAGATCTTTTTCTCGAGGTTTCTTACACCTTCCACTTCATGCCTCACTCTGTGTTTTGACAGGATTATCCAATTCCATTAGCTTGCTTGGATTTTCCTGAACGTGCAAAGCAAGCAAAGATGAACTTAAGGAAGTGAATGAGCTGTAATTTACTACAACATCAGCAAGCTAAATGGAGCTGCAATAATGCAGGGATCAATCTGAAATCACAATTAAGACAAATACAGATTCCAATTATCAAATTATCTTAATAAGATCTAGGAACAAACAGAATGATGAGACTAAGGGTGCAAATGTGCAATAAAATTGGGGGGGTTTTGGAGGAGTCAGGCTCCTTCTAACATATGAGAGCTTTTCAGSAACAGTGAAATGCAGATGTTGGCAGCTGCAGCCTGAACACCTCACCCATGGAARGGTCTGTTCTGGCCTGAGGATCAGACCACAGAGACTCAGAGCAGATAATAAAATCACTGCTTTGCAAGAGCTTTTGAAAGCTTTATTGCCACAGTCAAAATCCCAACCTGTGCTTTGCTTTTGAATCCTCATTCAAAATCCTCATTTAAATATTACAAACTTCCAAGATAATACCTGGAAAKAATGACATTTCTCAGCTGGACTCACTGCTAAGAGCACTGAATATAAAACAAAATAAATTCTAAAGAAAACTTTTTAATCCTATTCTTCGCAAGATTAGGAAATTTAACTTGATGGTTTAGACCATGCTTTCTCATATTATTTGGAAAAGAATACAGAATAAATGGCATTTCTACCCTGAAATATGACACCTGGTACTTTTACCCCATCCACAAGGGCAAAACCTCTGCCAGGGCAGAACAAAACCCCAAATCCATCCATGCAGTCATTTCTACACTTGCCAACACCGTGGATTCAAACTCAGTTTAATTTCTTTCAATATTATTTATTTTTACATCTGTTGGGGAGTTTCCAGGAGAAATCTCATCCTTGTGTTTTACCTCATGAATGAATTACTTACCCAGCAGCACCACCTTGTAAATAAAGCTGAGCTGCTGCTCCTATGTGAATTCTTTTGTTTCTGACTCCAGCACCTGATCCTTTCCTAGCCTGGCCCTAATTCCTGATTTGTTCACTGCAATRATTCAAACCCACTCAGCACAGGCTGGATGGACACACTCAGATGAGAATTTAGAGTTTACAACAGGGTTTGTCTTTTAGGTTTGGGGTGGGGGAGGAAGGGCTTGCTATACATTGACTGTTAATAAGGACAGTGTTTCACTTTGGATAACACCTCTTGGGAAATTTCACAAAAGAAAATACTTCTTGCTCATTATTCTTTATTTTTTCATAGCTTCCTGCTAGCTGGAAACTGTTATCTTTCAGACTGCATTAAAGAACTGYTACTTTTTAGGCAGAAGGGACAAAGTGTATTCCCAGACAAATAACCAGGGAGAACAATGAATAAATAGAGCCTTTCTTTTAAACCACTCCTGAATCACAAACTCAATTTATGAGTTTGAAAGCTGGGAATTTAGCCGGACTGTGCATTGTATTTCACAGTAAATCAGATGTTTATTATGTATTTATTTATGTTTTGTATATTCACTGATTTATATTACTGAAGCGAATGACCTGCTGCATTCCAGGGACATTTCAAACAACCCACCAAAAACCATTCCTGAGTCACAGAGCTCAAAACTTCCTTTGAAGATGTTAAAAGCAAACAAACATTAGGAAGCAGAAAAGCTCTTTCAGCTCCATTTATACTCAGGACRCTGAATCCACCCTGGTAAAACTGTTCCTTACAAACACAACATAAATTGTGTATTGTGAATATACAATTCATAAAAGGTGTTGTGTGTTCACAGAACTGGGGAACACCACAGCAGTAAAAGGTGCTGATCATTTAATATCTTCTCATTTTGGGGAGATTTGCACTCTGTGGATGGGCACTGCAGCCATCAATCTCCAGCAGGGCTGATACACAAGGACAATTTATTTCTTTTAGCAAACCCATCCCTCATCCTGCAGCTGATGAGTTACTCACATCTGCCTAAATACTGAATTGTACTGCAATACAAGCCTTTTTCTCCAAGTGATGTATAATGTACTTTTAAAAAGATTTAATTCTTTATTCTAAGAGCTGCATTTACACAAATGTGAGGAAAGCAGTCCCCACTGATCAAACTGCCTACCAGATGTAAAAAAATATCACTTCACTGAACAAAAAAAGCCTCTCTACATTTCATACAACTGTGCACACAAGTGCTTCTTACTGCTGCAAAAACAACTTCGTTTTTTTAGACTCAAAATTCACCTTTAAGAATATCTGCACTGAGAGGAAGCCCAGAGACCAAACAAAATCTAAAACATTTAACAACAAAAAGAACTTTTCCTATCTAGTGCTAAAGCACATATTCCATACAATTTCCACAAAGCACACAATCAGATTGAGAGGGAGTTCGTGTCCATTTGCAAACACAGGAGTGACAGCTTTGGGGGATGTTTTKAAATCCTCCAACACAAACACAAACAAACTCCAAAAGTGACAACCTGAAAATATTCCAGGTCACTTGATAGCAAGTGTGAGATAGCAAGCTAAAGAACACAAACAGAACAAGACAAAACTGGCAGCTTGCTCCAGGCCATTGATRAATCATTATTGATAAGAGCCTGATACTCCTGGGTTTGATATTGTATCAGGCTGAAAGTGTCCTCAAGGACAATAGAAATTTGTGTTTGCTTTTAGTGGAATAAAGGACTAAGCCAATAAAAAATCTAAAAAATATTTCTTCTTCAGAATAGTTCTAAGTAGTAAAGGGATATTATTATCCAGTGGATCTTTAACTGCAAAGACAAAAAAAAAAATCTACAACAAAACCTCCCTTTTTGCTACTTTTTATTCAATTTCTGTGCAGCTGTCAGCTCCAGGACAATGCTCCTTTCCCTTTATTCCTCTCCAGCCTTGAATTTGACTGGGGTTCCACTAGCAAAGGAAAATCCTGCTGAAATGCTTTACTTGATTGCTGGGATAYTCAGCAATCTGAAGAACTTTAGAACCTTAAACTGAAATGGCTCATGGCACAAGAAAGCAGCTTTATCAATAGGGAAGAATATAAAAGAGTGGTGAACAGGAAAAAGAGAGTCCTCAATATTTATAAAATATTTGGAATCACACTTCAGCCAATTACCAAACTATTAAAGAAATTAATGGGATCACTTAGAGCCAGCAGGAAGGTATTACAGCAATCTGAACTGGACACAGTTAACACATTTGCATGCTCCAGGGAATGTTTGGAGATGTTCCATATCCTCAGTCTTATCTGTTTGCTCCTAAACTCTTATCAGTAGTTATTAGATTTTAAAGTAAATCCCATAGATTAAAGGACTTTCAGAATATTTTTCCTCTCGGGAAAGTTCTTGCAAGCATCAAAATGCTGCAGAAAATCTTAATTCTTTCTTGTAATTTTTTTTATAGAAAAAAAAAAAAAAGCTTTATTGAGAACTTTTAATGTTTGCCCCAGGCCTTCCTCAAGTGTCTGGAAAAAATTAAATCCCTAAACAAAAATCTTTATGCCACAAAACTCTACAAGGTTCTGCTCTGGTGAATAAAATAAGTCAAGCAATTCTCCAAAGACCTCATTACAATTGCTGCTGCTGAACAAGAACCTGAACAAGGGCATGGCTGAGGCACAAGGAGGGGTCTCCTCGAGCTTCTCAGGCTTTGGGTTTCACTCTTTGATACTGGAGCATCACTGGTTAAATCAGGATTAAAATCAGATCAAAGGACAGATCAAATTTAGAGACCACAGCATCAGGTGGGGATCGTGAACTACTCACACCCAACACTGAAGAGTAACCTGGGAGAGGATTTTGTTCACTTTCTAAAATTATAAAGGAATGCAAGAAATCAGCCATGCTTTCCTGGGAGCTCAGAAGGACTATTTAGGTTTGAGTTTCCTATTTAGAAAAACTTTTTGCCTACCAGAAAGAAACCTTCCACTTGGCTTGTCCACTGATAGTTCATGTTCAAAAACCAAGGAAAATCATTAAAGCTGATTCATTCTAGAGCTGAAATATCAAAGCTGGATTACATTTGGAAAGAGCTGAAAATACAGAAACTCTGAAAAAACACAAAAGCTCCTTGTTTGTGATCAAACCTATTTGAGAAAGGGATTCAGCTACACAGGGTGGTTTAAGGGAAGCACTTTGCCAATAGCCCCTTCCACTAATAATTTACAAACATTCACCAATTTTCTGCCATGGAACAAAACACAAAATTGAGTATAACAAAAAAAAATAGAGAAGGAAAGAGTTAAACTCAGAAGGAAAAAAGATGTAAGGAAATATGGAATATTTTAGAGACGTTACTCACCAAAAAGAGAGTTCTGAAGTTGCTCAGGTCACCAAAGAATTCTTCTATGCTTATTGCTTTGGGGTCAAAGGTGAAATATTCTCCCAAATTTTCGTACAGTTTAGTCATGTTGTTGTGCATGTTGGACAGCTTCTCATACTGCTCTCGGGCACTCTCAGCAAAGCTGTGAGGGGTTGTTAAGGGAAATGATCCAAATGGAATCTGACAGTTAATAAAGGAAACAGTACACAGGTAAGGAGAAATCAGCACAAAGGGTGCAGCTGTAAATGTGCAAGTGATGCTTCAAGATGACATTTTTCTGTATCAACACTTCTGCAAGTTCACACCAACATTTCCATTGAATGATCCCTTTCTAGTAAACACAACTTATTCTATAAAATTTATAAATATCATGGATGTTTTTATTGGAAGACACGAATGATTTTATCAAATGCATCCTATGAAAACACACAGTGCAATTTGATTTTCTGTGACAATCTCTGATCTCTCTCTGTTCAAGTGAAGCCATGTCTCCCACCTCACAGACATATATTTTATATGTAAAATRACAAATTCATCCAGTCTGACATCTCATTTTCCTTGCCTTTCATTACAAAGTCCTCTCTGTGAAAGTCTTCTCTCTCCTGCCCAGGCACACAGCTCATGCCTCGGGCTGCCTGGTCCAGGCACATCCTTTTGAGGCACACTCTCAACTCTGTAATTTCCCACAACTTAGAAAAATGAAATATCCACCCACCCTGACAAACAGCCTTGAAAAATTATTAGTGAGAAAAACATCATGGAACAACAGAACTGGGKTTTTTTTTTTCCTTTTTTTTCATTTTAGAAATGAGACTGAGATTGACTTTCATCCCAGCAGCCATCATTAAAAGTTTGACATAATGCTTTTAAATAGAAAAATGTTGTACTTTTTTTACCCTACATGAAAAAAAATAATAAAAAAAATGAACAATTATTTTGCAAATAGAGGAAGGGTGCAAGCTACTAAGGGAAATATTAGTTTGCCTCAAAGCAAGAACATTTCTGTTCTTGTGTGGGGCTGTTTAAAGGCACAAAGTCACCAATCASTGGCAAAGGCAGCTGCTCCAGGATGAAAGCAGCTCTGCTGCTGCTGAATCACAGCTGATCAAAGTGTTTTTTCTGCACACATCACCCCCACAATAACCCAGCAGTTATCCCTGAACCCCAGCAGTGCTGCAGCCTCACTCCCTTTGGCTTTTTCTGGTCCCAAATCTCTTCCTCCACGTGGATTCTCASTGCTCACCCAGCAGAGCTCTGCCTCAGCCTCTCCCCGTGATGCCTGCTGATTTTTGCCTTTTTTTTTWTATATATTTTATAGACCCTTTTAGACATTTCCCTTTATGTATCCCCTGCACCCTTAGCCTGAGTGCTGGTGCCTTTAGTCTGATATTCCAGCTCAGTTTAGGAATTCTGCTGGGCAGAGACCAAACATCCTCAATCAGGGGATGTGCTATCATAAACCTGGAGGTTGGAGCCTTCTCCATGGAACACATTGTGTAAATTGAGCTCTGGCCTCATCCGGGGGGGGAATTTTTTAGAATATGGGGACTTTACTTCATTTGTGAAGTTTCTTATTGGGGAATCCTAGATAGATATGTGAATTTCTGAAGAATTGTACCCGTGCTATACATGACATGCATTCTGCCATYGAGTTGTGCACTGGGGATCCCAAACACCGAGGTAAAATCCTTTATAAAACTGTGTCATGATTAAAACTGGCCATCAAAACAACACCCAGACTGGGATCTCACCTGGCACCCCATAGCTGATTGTACACAGTGCTGGGACCTCAGGCTCTGCAAAACAACAATCAAACCCCAAACTGAACAGGGGGGACAGAGATGTACAGAGAAATCGTAAAAAATAAAATTTCTTTTTGAGATTAGACTAAACCCAAAAGTGATCCTGCAGAAAATAGTCAGCAAATGGCAGAATAAAGGATGGAAATTCAGGTGGATTTGGTGTTCATAACATTTCTGCAGCATTTGGATGTCAGTGCACAAGCTACATGCAAACATAACAAAGCTGAAAATACCCTCCATTGGAAAGGGGCCAAATATTCTACCTGGATTTTCTCTTTTTAACTCAATGGAAAGTATATAGACAATCATTTAAAAACTGGTTCTAAAAATAATGATTGAAAACTTTATCAATACAGCTTTTTCCAAGCAATCCTCTCCTTGCCTAAAACCTCAGTGGTGTAAGAACAAAGCTGTTAGCTTGTAATGTTCATTTRGAAACAGAAACCAACAAAATTATGGATATTAATATCTAAAATCAAGATTTTTTTTTAAACCAAGATATCTGCCTATCTAATACCCCACCATGGCAACACCTAATTCTCAGTTTATTGAAAACAAGTTTAAGCTGCTTGATGAGAATTTCAAGCTTGGACTGTTGAGTCGCTCATCTCAACAAGATAAACCTGGCACAGTTCAGTCTTCAGTGACATTTAACTGTGCAAAAGSAAATGAAAGTTTAATGGCAAGAATACATTAAATAGGTAATAATGGCACATTACTGAATTATTGAGCAGAGTCTAAAAATTTCAGAAAAAAAAAACATGAATTGCTTTAGAGTCAGCAGATTGCTGTCGTGAGCAACTCACCAAAAGTACTAAAAAGAAATACAAAGGTATCTAAGTACAAATTGATTCTGTAAAAACAATCACATCATATAATATAAARCCAAATCAGTATACTGAAAATGACTGAAAAGTCTGAGGAAAACAAGAAAAATMCTTTGCCAACTCCAGATTTGCAGCCAATTGTTGGAGACAAAACTCCAACTTCTCCACTCATGTTGCAATTTCACATAAGAAATAACAATAAGCACTAAAAAACCCAACACTGCTGCTGAAATTCAAAGATATTTTAAAGCAACACTCGAGAAATATATCTTGTTATTTCAACATTGTTATTTTTTTATCTGTTAAGTAACAATCTGACTGTGCCTCAGCCAACCTTTCTGCTTCTAAAACATCAGAATCCTGAAACATCACCTTGGAATGGACTGGTTTGGCCAATGAGCAGCTGAGGGAAGCAGAGCCAGATTTGCCAACATAATTTCATAAAAATAACGAGTGAGGAATCCAAAATATGTCAGCTTTGTATAATAGCAACACCTAATTCCAACAGATTTCCTTAACAGACACTGAAGCTTTAACCAGGGCTCCTTGAAAACTTTAAACATGTTTTCATTCTCTCCATTCTAAACCAAAATAAAAATCACCAATCTTTTCACTAACAAGTCTAAAGGTGCTTGTTAGGAGAAAGTACTTTATTCAGAAGCTTGTTTTTCCCACACAATCATATTTTTTTTAGTTTCTTTCACATCCTTAAGGAAATTCTAAGCCAATACTTGACTATAAAAGCTGAGAGATGRCCAGTGCAAAGCTAAGAGAGCACGGCATCACCGGCAAAACAGAAATGTGGCTTCATCAGACCTCTCCATATTATTTCCTTTACATTTGCCTCCACAAGAGTCTTTCAGGTGCACTTCTAACTTATTCTACAGATTTTGTGATATGCTGTTTAAAAAAAAAAAAATAACAACAATGATTTGTAGCTTACAATAGGGAAACAGGTAACCCATTTACTATTCCCAATGTGATTAAGTTATTTTCTAAAAATAATGCAATTTTAAAAAATACACACTGTAAAAATATACAGATAGAACAGAAAAGGAAAACTTATCCACTACCAATATGAAAGAACAACTAGCARGAACTCGAATACTTKTTGAACCATTTTTAATGACAATTAYCACTAAGGGTGAAAATTTACTAKAAGTATTTYAACCAYACCAACAGCATTCCTGCACTTCAAATCTGCTGCATTCATTCCACTGCAGAGCAGAATTGTGAGGAATCACCAGGCTAAAGATCCCTCTGAAGTGTCAGAAGAGGGAGTTTGATTGCATTGTGCCCTCTTAATGAAGGATGCACAAGTGCTCTCAGTTTCTAATCTCCAAGCTCATTCATAACAGAGCATCCTCACAATTGAACTGTGGCAACACAAACACAACTCATGAACTGGAGGCAGAATTCAGCTTTAATTCAGTCATTGCCATGATGGCTCTATTCTCACCTGCTATCAGTCTGTAAACACATGCTAACAATGTTATCACTCACTGCACATCCATAATGCATTTCTGGGACTGCACAGCAGCTTCTGGAGCGTGCACACTTAATTAGGAATCACAATTTCACAATTATATCCCTGATCTTTTCTTCCTGTTTGCAAAAATAGCAAAAAAAAATTGCAGAAATCTTCATTGCAATGCACTTCACTCCATCCAAATGAGAAGCCAACCCAAGATCCATAGCAGGAGCCTCACTTTATCTGTGTACACATAATCATGTTCTTCTGAAGAGCTTAAAGATTCCCTAATAAAACACCCATAAAAAGCTCAGTGTGAGAATTTCYTTCTCATTACAAAGCAAATTACCTCATCACTCAGCATCTGACAGAAGAGCTCAGCAAAAAGCCCAAACAAACCACACAGAACAAAACACCTGATTCTCAGACATCTTTGAGCAAAAAGGGCTGTTCTTCTCCTTTRTTCCATTAGTGCCTGGAATTATCAKGAACTATCAGAATTTGGACAATTAATCGGATTTCAGTGGTCTCTGTGTTGGTGGAAATGAAGCACARAAAGATCACAACCACCCAAGAACAGCCCTGGCAGTGATCTGCTCCTTCTCCCAAAATCACACAACCCCATTCAGCTCTCATTAATTAAGGTGAAGCTTTGTGACTTGTCCCTAAATGGCTGCAAAACTTTCATCTTGGTAAACACCACCAAAATCTGTCAATATTTACTTCAATATTCACCTCCTCCCAGCTCTCAGAAATCATATCAATTCCAACTCTGCTGCATTGAAACTTCTCAATAATGCCAGGACAATTTCCATCAATTCCACCACATTGCTATGCACAGGAGAAAGCTTCTGTCAACATCATTTCAATGCTGCTTTTTTATTTATTTTCCTGTTAACGAGGACATCAAGATCACTGCTCACTTCTCTGCAAGTCCCAGAGATCTGGGGGAGCAAAAAATGATAAATGAGGGCCCACTTTATAAAATATTCAGCCCAAGGTACAGAGCTTCACAGGTCTTGAACTGTTTTATACTGGAAAAG